CTGATGATTAAAGTTGTAAAATTTTTTTCTTCTCACAAAGTTTTGCTAATTAAAAAAATATGATTGAAAATATATTCAAATTAATGAAGTTGTTGATCAGTTTGAAAATTAAAAAAATAAACCAAAGCTGGCTTTGTATTATCCGATATCAATCCAATCCAATACAGCCATTCTACTGATTCCGGATTTGCGCAGAAGTTTGGATAATTTGTAAATCCTTTATACGCATCGAATATCAATTTAAAATTTGTTATAACAATCACATATTGAGTTATAAATAAACATAGTAGTCTTTTAAGTTTCTCTGATATGGGAGTTGAGAATAGTATTGCGACAATCAGAAATGGTATAGAAACCAATGATACCTTTAATTAAATCTAATAAAAATCATTACTGCGCAAGAAAAATCATTTACTATACAATAAATCAGTAATATACGATAATTAACTTGTTTATAATTTATTTAAATATTTGCTTTTCAGTAACTTTTTACCTTTCATTGATAATAAGCAATATTAAATAGCAGCATTTATTTATGTCAAATAAATGCTACTATTTTTTGATTTTAACATTTTCAGCTTTGCTTTTTTTTGCTGATTCTTGAATATAGCATTATATAATAATAAAATTTATGCAAATTTCGTTATGATAAAATGTTTGCAAAAAACTTGCTTTGTGAATAGCACAAAATGCGAGGGATAATGCACAAATTGTATCAATTAATCTTAAACTAATAATTAATAATACTCGTCCAAATTCACGTATATGTTTGATACAAAAATGAGGTAATTTTACTGAAAAAACTTAGAATTTAGAATTAGTTATTTCGAAAACATTAATGCATTTATAAGAATCAACACTGTATACGAGTGAACAATTTGAATTCCAAGTTGTCTGTTTGTGCCAAATTTTTTCGTAGTAAGCCTTAACACAGCTTTGAATTGAAATATTCTCTTATAAAAAAGCGGGAAAAATATTAAAGTTAGAAGGACTTTTGTAATTTAAGGAGATCAAATCGAGCAAAACGCATAATATTGCCAAAGCAAAGAACATCGAAACAGTTATCATAGATCCCATACTATCATATTGTGCTAAAATAAGCCCTTATATTTTGTCTTATTTAAATAAACATAATATCTACGTTTAACAGCACTTTTTTATAACTATTAAATAAAAAATTGTTGTAGCAAAATTTTCGTGCATTGTTAATGTACTGAAAATTCAAATTAACTTTTGCAACAGAGAAGAATTTGAAAAGTTTGCATGATTAAATGGCAAAATAATCATTTAGTCTTTAAGATATCGTACTTGGATTTTGTACTGTCAGTGGACTCAAGAAGATTTCACTTGCACTCATTTCATATCTTATAATGTAGTGATCAGCCAATAAAACAATATGAATAAAAATTAAAATAATTAGCATATACCAAAAAAAGACGCTATGACGTAGGAAAAAAGTTATCGACGTCTGCAATATCAACTTAGATAATTTTTATTGTTATTTGAAGCAAAAATGATCAAGTTAATTCAAGAAATGCTACGAATAAAGTAATAACTTATTTTCTTATGACCTATAACCTCTAAATGCAGAATTTACAGACTTGTTTATTAAAAAATTAACATAAGGTGGAAATAAGTTATTACATTTTGAAACAATTTATCTTTTATCTTCTGCCTTCCTTTACGAATATTTAAGCGTTTTTGAATGCAGTCAATAATATAAAAAATCTAACTTACTGTGTATAAGAGATTAATAATATTTCAAGAAATAAAAAGTTGAGTAGTCAATTTTAATCTTACTTGCTAATTGTTCAATTTAGTTTTGAATAATATTTTTTGTAGTGATCGAATTTTTGATAAGAAATTAGTCTTAAACGATAATTTTCATGGTAGAATTAATCATAATAATGATAGTTATAATTAATATTGATATTATTAATGATAATTATTTGTTCTTCTTTTCAAGAAATGAAAAAATATTAACTCTGAGAAAAAGAAAAAGAAATTAAAAGAAATTACTTGAAGTGTAGTACAATAAACTCCAAAAAAAGCGAAATATGCAACAGCAATGATACTTTGATTGAAAATAACAGTAGTGATACTGAACATCACAACCGTGATTAGATAGATAAAGCATTTAGCTACAAAATGGATCAGTGATTCAGCCATCGATCTGATCACAACGCTGCGCGGTCTGTTCTGTGCACAACACTGAAAAAAATTGCGTGTCCAGCCACATTTTAAAGACATTTTTGAAAAGACTTTAAGATTTTGCTATGAATTTGCCTTTAAAATTTTTGTTTGTATTTTTAAAGTTTATTTACTCGAAAGTTAATTTCATTTACTTACAAAAATTTGATTAAAATTTTGAATTAAATTAATGAAATCATTTGAGAAAGCTAAATATCTGATAACAAATTTTAAGTTAAAAAGTATTTGATGACAAAATTAAAAAATTTCTCTAATTACTGTAACAGATGAAACTTTTTAGATTTCCTAAAATTTAAACTTATTTTTTTATTGGATAAATGCAAGACATTTGTTTAATAATAAATAATTTCAGAACTGAAACCATAACTAATTCAATTATTAACAACTTTGCTACATAATGTGCACATCAGCAACCCCACACACATTTATTCATAGATTCATCAAAATTTTGTATTTCTCTCATGGTAAAATCAAAAAATTTAAAAGCATCTGACTAAAAATGCAAACTTAAACTTCTTAATATTGTAAACAGTTATCAATTTCAATTACAACTCTGTATTTCTACAAAATATACAAATTTTTAGAGCCTTTTTCTTTAATTGTTCTCAAGCAACAGCGCAGAAAATTTTTCATAAAACTATTTTGTGTTGATAGTCTTTTATTGCGTTTTATGGTGAATTTAAATTTTCCAACAATAATTACAACTTTAAGGTTTAGTCTATGCAAGGATTTCCATATTCACTTGAGTGTCCTCAAGTTGTTGAGTGGTACCTAACTTTAATGCAATCCAGTGATTATTATTAACTTCTAAAAGTAATGCAGAAAGGTCAGCTTGAAAGGTCAACATGCTTGTTTTCATTTTTTTTGCAGATTAATTCTGCTACTTTCCGCATAATACTATTGTTTTTTTCAGTTACAGCACTTACTTTCTTTTTCGATTTTGACCAGGAAATACCTTTCATATTATGAATTTTTGAACTTGGCCTGAATTACTAATAAAATGCTAATGAAAATTTAAAAAATATTTCAAACAAAAAATTATTTCTATTAGATTAACAAATAAAATTTTCAATTTAGGTCTAATCAATGTTTTTTTTACAGCTTCAAAGTAAACATTGCGTGATCAGTTAATTAAATGATCATAATTATTGCTGCAATGTTTTAACCTTTATCTTC